AGGACTTCTGGACTAGCCTGGTTGCCCCCCGATGCCGTCCTTGCATCAGGGACCCTCGCATACTTTCCACACTCGCGGGGCCATACGAGTGCGCGTCGGCTCCCGCGGACGCCGTAGCATTAACTCGGAATTCATATGGTATATTGAACATTGGTGATGTGACTTGGGTGTTCGTAGGCCGGCCCGTCACGAAGGCCTGTCACCTGCTTTCGAGTGTCCGCGTTCGGCTCAGCCCGCAGGAGCGGGCAGTTTCCAGTGGCACCACGTGGAGGAGCGGACTTCACCACCGTATGTATAGCATATTACTATCATTATTTTATTATATTATTTGTGTACACATTACTTTATCATTATAATACATACAAATCCTACAAGTGACTCATGTGTCATGAATGTGATAGCCTTAAAGGCAGCGCCCGCGTTCAGTTGAAATTTTCCTCTTCCTTCGTGAGCAGGTCAGGTCCGCAGAGGCAACAACTACAGCACTTTCACGGCGCAAAAACGAGTGAGGAGACCCACGATGCCGTCGTTCTTCTCATTGGCCCAAGCACCGCCCACCATTCATTTTTGATGGTTGCCTGATGGTGCGATCGTTCTGCTGCTGCTTCTCTCCACGTCGAAAGGTGAGAGAGAGATTGTAAGGGAAAACAACTGATACCAAGAAGGGAGAACTCGTGCGGCCGCACCTTCTCTTCGATCTGAGCGCGTACAACCTCAGTTTAGCAAGGGCTTCTATATAGAGCCGTTATTATAATTTCTTTCTGATTTTTCTTCACTAATGGATTACGTGCTACCTTGTAATAAGTATTTGAGCCGCATAACTCATCAAATTTGAATGCGGGCTCAGCCTTTAAGTTGATTATGCGCTTCCATATCTATAGAAAGAAGGAGCGATACATGTAAGGAAAATCGTGGACGTATAAGGAAAAGCGTGAAAGGTGGAATGAAGAATCTCATTATAGAAACTCTGTTTTCCGAAATTTGTAGACCGTTTCATGGAGAATCGGGAAAATTCCGCTCTCAAATTGGAGTGTTCGGATTACGATGTTCCGACAGTTCCTCATTCTTTTTTACTTGAAATGTAGCAATTTCTATGGAGTTCTCCAACTCCCTTGTTCTATCTAAGGAAAGAGGAGGTGTTAATGAGGCAAGCGAAAATGCTAGCGCTGCTGGGCAGATGGGAAGCCAACTCGGGCTGATGGCCACGCTAGGTATGCTCTCTGAACGGACAGGCCAGCAGGAAATGTCATGCAAAACTAGGTGGAGAAAAAGAATCTATAGAGAACTTGAAGCAGTGCCTTTCAATCGCGGCGATCTCCCTCTCTCTCTTCAAGAACCAATATGACCTGGCACTTTCCTACTTTTCGCGAATGATGAGTGTCTCACCAACCCCTAGAGTCCCTCCTCTTGTAAGTCTTTCCCGTGGTTCCCCCTTTTGATTCTCTCCATACAGTGCTTTTTAAGTTGCTGCTCTCTTTCTGCCTACTCTACAGAGACCAGAATCCAAATAGGCAAGCTGCAAAGGGAATAGACAGGCATGCTACAGACTACGTCAGTGGGGTGATATGTGCAACCAGGGCACGCCATCGTTGTGATGATCACAACAAGGGGGAGGTGGGAGTCGTGTTTGACCTCGAGGGACGGGGGAGTCGTGAGCGCAGGGCCCTTTCTGAAGTGAGGGTGCAGCGATACCCAGATGTCGTTCAGCTTCCATGATGAAAGTCTTATCCATGTGAAGAACCCCTGAACAGACACACACAAGACAGAAGCAACCTGCTAGCGCAGAAGTGGGGAAGGGCGATGACAGGAAATACGATGGCCGCGTACAGCGACGTCCTGAATTAATAAACAGATGAAAATACACTTCTGGACCTTTATCTCGCAGAAGCACATTTACTTGCACGGAAGAAGCCCTTTCTAGATGTTACACCCTAGATGTTACACCTTCTCAATACCTCTGCGTGAGAGCGCTGTGCATGGCACATTGCAGAGGTGATGACAATTGGCGTCCAATGAACTATTTTCTTATATTCCTGGCGAAAACGTGCGTTTTGGAAGCATAACAAACTCCTTAAGCCAACTGGAGGTCTCATGGCGTCGGAGTGGTTGGTTTTTCGTGTCGTCCTGCAGCGGTCGCCTAGTGATCACAACGGGGATTGTTTCAAACAGCAGACCTAGGGATAAAATGAAAGTCTTGCTGGAAAGTGGAAGCTTCGAAATTCTTTCACTGTTTTTCTTTGTACCGTAGACCCTACATGAAGCTTGCCATGGCTGTTCAAAGCGTAAGGACTTGCAAATGCCCCCATGATCACGACAAGATCACAACCGAGAAAATTTCTTGGAACGGAATTTTTTCGAAATCGCTTAAAGGCACGTTCCGCGATAAATTAAGGCTAGGTTCTCATAACCGTGCACGATGGTCAAGCAGGCAACGTCAGAGGCTATGCTGCTTTTGAAAGTTGAAAAACAGGAAGCAGACGCAGGGCGCTCAAGTTTTAGGCCCATTTACGCCCGATAGGCCCAGGCCGGCCTTCAGTGACCATGTCGTTGTGACACTGCCATTGCGCTCTCTCGCCCGTCGTTTTCTGGCTTCTCTCTCGTCTCTTGTCAGTGTATCGCCGCCTTTAGCAATTCACAATTGATCTTGACACCTTACGCTCGTCCGGTGATCGATCAATTGCAATAAAGAGTGTCTTATTCCGGGCGCTTTTTCGTGCTACTTTCTTCTTCAATACGTCATTAAACACACGGCAATTCTATCTTTGAACTGTATTACCTATTAACTGTCGTCGCGGGAATCGTCTTTAATTAAAGGCAGCTGGCACGATAAATCCCCAAGACGACCAGGATCAATACTCCTGGCTGACCGCGACCCTGGGCAGGCGCTTCATAGCGGTTTCCTCGAGGAAGGTGCTTACAAGGGCCCTATCAAGCCACAACATTACGTCCCAAAAGCACGCCACGCCCGCCCGCCCACGAATGGACGACCGTTCCTGATGCTCATATTCCTTCATTTGCTAAGCGAAGGGACTGGTATGAAGCGGTCGTGATGCTGCATGCATAAACGGGTACACATATGCAGATGTATCTTCGGTAGCGGTGATTTGTAAGATGCCTACGGGGAACTTGTCTTGAATCGATTTACAAGTCACTGAGAACGAAGGCTTTTCTGCCTTTAAACTCGGGTAACAAGTGCCAGTGCTCCACATTGCTGCTTTCCCCATTCCAAAAGCTCTACTCTCAGTAAGTTATGGGTGTTCAAGTGAGGGGTACTTCTCGAATGTTTGGCTTGAAACTGGCTCCGCTCCAATACCTTTGTATGAGCGCACTCACCTTTGAATGGAACAACTAGTATTCAAAAGCATGTCTTGGGGTCTGGCTTCTAGTTCTCCAGATGAATTAGTTTTCTCTAGTCGTTTGTTTTCTAGTGCTCTTTTAGTTTATGTTCTAGTTTTCTACACTATTGAACTATTCCTACCCCAGGCTGCCGAAATCAGAACCCTTTTTTACCGACTTTTTTCTAGAAGGGCAGATTTGCTTGAAATTTGCTTACAGTGGTACTTCGACCTTCTGAACAGAATATCGCATCCGCTTCGCCCAGAACTTCTGGTCGATTTTGGTAATTTGGGGTATTTTGGCGCCGCCCCACAGGCGCCGGCACCAAAATACCCTAAATCACAAATTGATTTGAACTTGTATACCACGGTTATTTGACATCCTGACTACGAATATGACAATCATTCTTGACGCCGGCGTTCACGTACAAAACTATGGTCATCTGCACTTTACTAAGACTGAGCCGGGCCTGGAGGAATCTTCCTATTCCAGTTTCAGCCTCAGCAGAGCGCTAAATAGCGCTGGTATGGAGAGATGATATCACACTCGTAATCAGGACATCGAATAACATCTATAGACAAGTTTCAGCAATTTTTTTTTGCTGAGATCTTGGGGTAGAAATAGTTCAATAGTGCCCAGTTCTCTTTATTGTCATTTTCTTTGCCCCTTTTTCGCGTCTCTTTGTTTGTACCCTTATAACAGGAGAGACCCTTATTGGGGGGGGGGGAAGGTCGTATTCAGCGGAAAATGATCACAACGCGATGCCCTGTGTGCAACTCAGTGAGGTGCGGAAGTGAAGAAGAAGCCAAAGAAGCAGCCGAACAGCTGCAGGATGAGCCCTCAGTATTCCTCCCGTTGATTGGTAGACGTGATTCCACGATAGCAGCTTTTCATGCATCAGAAAACGGTGTGGACGGGTCCTGCTGCTGTGGGATATATACTGCAGTCAACAGGGGGTGGGATGGGATTTCGGAGTCTCAACGACACACACCCAAGTCACTTCAGAGGCACATTTTGTAAGAAGCCATCAGGAACTTCGTGGTCAGGGGGACTGACCAGCACAGCCATGAGTGCTGGTCGACTCCTCTTGAAGAATAAGGTGGGGCACTGTAATGCACCGAAAAAGCCCCCTGTTTCAAGAAAGAAACGAAAACCTGTTGCAGTTTCGGGCGAGAAACCAAACAAGAGCAGCGAGAGAACATGTAAATGAGTAAGACGACAAGTGCGACAACTAGCACCACCAGCGGAGTAACTTGAGTCGCACCTTGCGCACTGGCACCACTGTCTTACAATTTTCTGACGCGAAACTAGTACAGGATTGTCCAATGCACTTTACAATAGATTTCCGCACAAAAAACTCTTAATATCGTAAGTGATCGCGGAAAGTGCCTAGGGGCCTTTCTTACCAGTGAACATACCAAGCTTGAGGATCTGGTTTATCCTTCTAATAGACGTGAATCTCTACCCATTCATCCAGATTGTCTGATCTAATGTCTCTGAAAAGTGCAAATTAAAGAGAGCCTTCAAGTTAAATATAAACGATTTATTAGCAAGTTATTCAAAAATTGCTGTAGACGTTCTAACATCAGATCTCAATAAATTGAGGTGGAGCTGGGCTTCTAGTTGGACATCCTCTGGACACTGTGAAAGCTCGTCTGCAAACGATGTCTGCATACAGGGGTATCATCGACTGTGCAATCAAAACAGCTAGGCAGGAGACGGTGGGTCCTACTGCTATTTTGAAGCTCAATATTCGAAAATAAGGTATCACATTTCGATGATCAAAATTTGCCTTATCAGCTCAGATCTACGGCTTATACAAAGGAATGTGGGTGCCATTTCTATCCACGGGTGCTTTACATTCGCTTCTCTTCGCTGGTTACGGGGCTGCTCTACGGCTTTTGCATCCGGGAGAGTCAAACGTGCAAGCCAGAAAGGACCTGCCCATGTCTGAGGTATGCTGCCTTTCCATAGTAGTGATAGTTAAACACAAATTTCACAAATAAAACTGGACGGAGAATCAGAGGGAAACTCATAGCTGTTGTGTCTTCTCGCAGCACCTTATAACCGGTCACGAAATCCTCGTTGGTAACCACCTATCCGTCCCCTCTTTAGCGTTCCAGCAATGGACATGCACAGTCTGGCAAGTTACGGTTGTGAGTTTCCACCTAGACTTATCGGGAATGCCTTATAGAAAACAGTATTCAGGCGCAGTTCGGCGGAGAGGGGGACATTTTGCACTTCCACTGTTTCACTACTTCCGGCTTACAAGCCTCACTCTGGTGAAACTTGTGAACTCTTGAGCTGGAATGAGCTCGTCTAGCCACCATGGTAAAACGTGCCAGCTCAAGAAAAAGCTATCTAATCTAAACAGAAGGGTCGACACACGATGGGAAGCAAAATGCCTCCTCCGTCACCGAACTGCGCCCATGGTCCAGCGTCAACGTATAAAGAGGCAATATCACAAATCTCTGGAACCGAACTCCTTTTGTTGGAAGTACGAAGAATGTGGCTTGAAAATCGACAATAGATGGCATTCATGACACAGAATCCGTCTTTGACACAAAAGGCGAAACAAATACCATCAACCATGAGATATACTGTAGCTCGCTGCGGACGGTTGGGCGTTTCAGGCAGTAGAGTGTACCACACCGTCGAAGCCATTCTCCGCCTTCTTCTTGAAGCGCGCATATGATAAATGGTGGTAGAAGACCAGTAATACGAACGACATGATACAATCATATCGCTCACTTGAACAACCGGTGGAGAACGGGTTTAGCACCGTGCCAAACTCATCCCGCCTGACACGCCCAACCGTCCGCAGCTTACTGCACTATACAACTGCGCTGTTTTAAAGGCACTCCTTACTGCAGAAGCGCTACCGATCGCGTTTTACGACGAATCAAAGGCAATGCTGCCGCGTCCTGTGCACACCGATACCATCGTAAATGCTATTTTCAAATGTGCATAGGTTTAGTGTATTGGAGCGATTTTCAGATTTTGATCGCTTCAATGTGCGGTACAATGGCACAAGTTATACCAGTTATACCAGTGGAGCTGCTGAAGACACGTCTTCAGGTAATTCCTCTTTACTGTTTTCAGCGAACTTCCATTTTCCACGACATGGCTATTAGAAATCCGAAATACTCCCTTCTGTTCCTCCGTCTGATCATAATCAGTTACAAGGGCAAAATAAGATCGCTCTTCCAATACCACTCTTCCCACATCCTACCCAGGCAACCATCAGAAATATTATGTCGTCCCATTCGAAAATGCGGGATGTTTTATTCGTATAAAACGAGTATGAGAGCATGTAAAAAATTTAAAAGCAAACGAGCACCTAGCTGGTATGAGACGTGATCGGCTCACGACAGCACTTGGCAGGCATAAATCTGAGGAGCATGACGGCAACAACTTAGAAATCAAGTGTACTATACTGGCGCAGGAGACGAAAATTTCGGCAAGGAAGGCGTTAGAGGCGTTTTGGATTTCGGTCAGAAATCCCAGAATGAACAGCCGAGATGAGTGTCCGTCAGCGACAAATGACCTTCTGCCATACATATCGTATTGCGAGCTCTAAGTAGCAGCGCTACGCGCATCTCCTCACTTCTAAACGTGGCAGGAGACGCTATAGTAACTCTCATTCTCTACTAACTACTAGCCGCATGTGACTGCGGATATACGGTGAAAGCTTGGTGAGCGCACTCTTCGTGTTGTGTGGGCTTTCAGGTTGAGTGCCGAACACGCCGTCGGAACTGCTAGGGTTGGTTTGGGCGCTTAGTAAGGTAGTGTTCATTTCCCAACCTCGAAACGCGTTTAGGCCTCTGAAGAAGATGACCAAGTCGAAACGTTAGGCTGTAAAATAAAGATTTCCACCTGAAAACCTCGAGTGGCATGGCAATATAAACAGAATAAAAAAATCTAATATTTTGACATTAAGTTGGGTAGTACATTGTTTGTGTCCTAGCACTGCCCTACAGTACAGCTACTACAATGGTGGCCTTCTTGCAGTTGTGTGGTACCATCCACTCGTCGATCTGATTGGTGGTACCATCCACTCGTCGATCTGATTGTCGAGGAACAGGCAATATACCGACAGCGATGACTTTGTTCTATGTATAAGCCACAGTGTGGAAATCCTTCGCTATGATGATCATCCACTGGCGCCCACGTAACCGGTCATGGTAGAATTCGGGCGGCTTCTCATCTGCATTCATAACGAATTGACTATTGTGAGTTTTGGCTGAAGGTCCAAGACCACCCATATTTCATCTAGGGCCGTGGTGCGTTTTCACAGTCGTGAATGACATCTCATGCTGAGAATAGTACTGCTACAGGCATAGAATCGGTACTGCATTCGTGCTTCTACAAGAAAATTAGGTAACCATGCTCACACCCTCTTGAGCATCCTCAATTTACATAACTCGGGCAGCAGTTGTAGCAGAGACGTCAGTCTCGTGGGGAAGCTCGATAAGGACCCAGCTAATCAAACATTCAGCGCTTTACTTCATCCGTCTTTTTTTCTACAGGATGAACATTATGGGATCATCCACGACGACAAGTTTTTCTGGTCCGGCCCAAATATGAAATAGGTCAAATATGAGCAGCGCTCTTCACTGCTATGACGCCTGATTCGGAAATCCGGCGCTGACTTTGACCACTCGGGCTTCTTTTCAGTTTCTCGAGATTTTCTGGGGCTAGGTTTGCCAAACTCACAGACACATAGGTAAAGGTTTTAGCCTCCAAATGGTGCGCCCGCTGCTCTATCCCCTTTGCTTTTCTGCCATTCCCCTATACGTATCGGCACTTTTGAATGGGACGACTCAATAGAAATAACGTGGGTCTATAGTGAAGGAGTGCAGCAAGAAGCAAGAAAAATGGACAATCAGGAAAATCCCCGCAGTCGAGTACGACTCCCGCTCCTGCAGCGGTCAAATAGACCACACTGGGTATTCCCCAATGTTCGAGGTGCTCTTTCAATTACTGTACCTATGATGGTCACTGGAGTATGTGCCATTCAGCTTTCCATCTGTACGAACTCGCCACTTAGAATGGGATGATTCTGTGGAACAAGCACATAACATGGAATCCTTAAAAGTTGCGAGTGAGCCTCTAACAGCCACTCTTAGAGTCGTGCCTTACCAACATCATTCCTTCGAACACTACACTACAAGTGATGTGAACAGGGTACAGCATCCTTGTGTGAAACACATGGGGGGGGGTCGTACTTTTGCTCTGGGGAGGGGGTCGTATTTGTAAGACAAATTTATTTTGATAGTTGATTTTTTCTTGTGGAAAAGTGGGGGTCGCATTAATTAATTTTTTGTTTTACATGCACTATATGCATTCTGTACGACCGTGGGATATAAGTTGCATAGTTATTGTATACCTCCATACTCATCGCTCGTCGTCGTCCAAAAAGCCATCGAGGTGGGGTGGGGGGGGGTCGTGCCTGGAGCCCATTCTTAGTTGGGGGGGGGGTCGACCTCACACCGACATTCCGCACATCCCCACGCTGCACCCTAGACGTGAATGTCCCATCCACGTGTAGGCGCCTACGCTCCAATAGAGACTGGCTCACATGAAAAGAAAGTGAAACACATTCTGGTCTTGCCATTGTTCCAAAAGTTCAGAGGAGATGACTAAAATTTATAACTTTCACAAAAATTCCATATTATTGAGGTGCAACGAGAGAACGTCTCGCACTTCACGCGACATGCTGAAACACTTTACGCCGGCCCAATGGAATGTGCACGACACACAATCAAAACTCAAGGAATTGGAGGACTGTTCAAGGTACCCCAATAGAAGGCACTTCTATTACACAGCTCGGAAGTACCCACTCTATAAAATCATGTTAACCGAATGTTCAGAAGCGACTAAAAATTTCAGGAACGTATGTCACTTTTTTCAAACTCCCCAGGCATTAGGTTTTATAGGTGCTGCAGTCTCCCCTTTGCACAATGCTCAAAATAGGACACCTACTTACCCGCACTAACCCACTCCTTCATCCATACGGCAGACTTTCTATCCTCAGACTCATCCATCAGACTTGTCCGCGCGAACAAAAACAGTGGTTCATGGCACTGATGCGAAATTCGCAAGTCTCGTGCATACCGCTAGAAGTGATCAACCCCATGGCCATTCCCATGTGTTTCTTACTATAAGGTCCACTCTGGAATGAGAAGGTTGTTTTCAGGGTGGAAAAGTCATTTTTATGCGTGACAATATTGGATATTTATTCTACATTCCCGTTTACGAGCTCATACTACGATTCACAAGACGGCAAAATATCAACGAAACATGTGCCCAGGTTATTTCCAATTTCACCATCTCTTTTCTATGTTGAAGGACCCTTTTCATCAAATAGTTTTCGAAAAGCCTTGTTATACATAGACGATGAATACTACCACCTGATTTCGTATGACCTCTCATCCGCGTACTGGTGAGGTTTTTTGTCATGAATACAACAGGTTTAGATTAGATTTGGAACTAGTTTTTTAGCTGGCGCAAGATCCGTCGATTTCTTGTGAACAACAAAGTGTCTTTTTGAATATTTCTCTATAAGTTGATTTTTCACAGCAGAAGGGAGCAATCTCAACGTTCACAAGTTGGGACTCACCTGTATTCAGATCGCCCTTTCTGCGACTACTAGTAGACTGGGCACATCATGCGTTTGGGAATTTTGGTCCGGTCCGTGCGATCCCCATTTAAAGGAGAGTGGCTACAACTTCCTCCCTCTTCCTACGGTTTACTGTTTTTCCTTCTTATTTGCATTTTTTCTTGAAGCATACGTCGAAGGAAGCTAATGCTCAGTTAAGAAATTCCCTCGGCTGCTAAGGGCACCTTCCAGTACTGAACGCCATCCGATCAAAGAAATTCTGTACGAATGAAACTGGGAACACTCCCTAGATTCACAGGACAGAGTCCCAGCAAAACTGCTTCCTTCATTCACAGGAGGAATTAACCTTAGATGAAGCATTTTATGTTACTTCCTATGGAATCATACAGCCTAGACCGAAAGAAGGTGGAAATGACGGAGTCAGACGATTATTCATCAGTATCCTACCAGAGCTAAGCTATTTAGAAACCCACAACACTTCTCGGACACTATTGGGAAGTGAGAAAGTGTATCTCTCTAGCTCTCGCGGGAAAAAAAGTTTGGCAGCCGACGTGAGATCATATTTGTCAATATACCTCAAGTGAAGCTCTTCGGTTCAAAGAGCCGTTATTTTATCAAAACTAGACCGTTGAAGAAATGAAGAACGCAGTGTTGTAGTCTCTGATGAATAATGAAATGTACATAAGTGCTGCCTGACAGGAGGAAAATGCAGCGTTGAGGATTCCTTGGATTTTTAAAACTGGATGGAAGTTTTCTGCTTTGAGTGAAGGTAGTCTTCTCCAACGCAGTTGTTTGCAAACATAAGAGCAGTTCTAGAGGGCTATTTCTTTTTTCCAAAACAATCTTACTTGTTCCCGAAATTTCTGGGATTTATGAGATTAATAGATAGGTAGATATAAGACAGATAGCGTTGGAGACTTACTAGGGAAAACTCCGAGCAGCGCAAAAAAAGGCATTTGCGGCGTACCATTTCTTTGGGGCCACCCAGGAGTGCATCTGCAAGGCTCCCCCGCAGAGATCGCGCAACTTCCCTGTGATGCCTGTCCATGCAAGCAGATCTGCTCAGATTTCAGAGAGGCCCACGATCCACCTTCGCGTTTGCTTGAGTTGTACTGTTCAGTCGTCAACGTCCTTAAGAGCTTATGCAACTTATTGATACTGTTAATTAATCATTTTTGTGGTGCTACTGACACCACTGCGCTGTTCGGTGTTAACTACCCCAATCATTACGTCCCCCACCTCAACAGTCAAATATGACCCCCCCCCCTCCTCTCTTTCGGGGCTCCCTAACGATTGCGTGCCCTAGCACTAAATAGATAGGTGAGTACCTCGCCTTAGCTCGTTGAAAACAATCCGTTTGGCGGGAAAGCGCCGCGCGCGACGTATTTCGCTTAACCATTACTATCCGCTAATCCACTATGCCACCAGTGGCCCATTATGCCCCTCACAATTTTTTTCTATGAATTTTCGCGTGACGATTAATCAGTCCCGCGTAGAGCGCTATTCCTAGCATCCTTGATCACATTGGACACCTTCGCACTTCCCGCACCACAACCACTCCCATTTTCAGCGCGAACGTGTTCTTTCGAATCCTACTTTGTAACATAGAAAATCTGTGTATTGAGGACGTCCAAACAGATTTGCTTCGCCTTTTAACGGGTTCATCGTAAACTTCGATTATTCACAAAATTTTTCCAACTTCGCTCCTCCCTCGCCACACCCTCAAATATCGGATTGCTCACATACATACAAGACTTGACACTGATATACCATTTTCACTTTAAATCAGACACTTTTCAAACCAAATCGGACACATTTCAAACCAATCGGACACTTTTCAAATCAAATCGGACACACCCCTTACAATGGGCAGCTGAGAACTAGCCCACCCTAGGTACTGCTGCAAGCCCCGCCCCAACACCCCCGCCCACTTCTTAGCGCGGCCGCGGTTTTCCAAATGTTTTATGAATTCTGCTTCTTCGAATTTTTCAAAACTTTTGCTGCTTGACACACATTCAATTGAATAGATTTGCTACCGACATATATGTGACTCCGCCCATTTCATAATGAAGTGACGTAAGATAATGCAGATCGGCGAGCTGGTGACTGTACTAGCAGGTCATGGCCTTTCCCGTCACATAGAATGAAAAAAGGAAAGATCAGAAAAAACGGAAACTTTGTTCCGGGTAGCGGATGAGGCCACAACCTGCCAGTACAATCACTAGCTCGCCGATCTGCAATTTTTTTGAAGAGTAGGCGTGGCTTCTACAAGGTAGGCGGAGCTTCTACTACTGGGTGGGGCCGCTTTTCACAGCCTAAAAAAAGTAAAAATTCGGAAAATAAATCAAAATTCCGCGAAAAACTAAAGTGGGCGTGGTCAGAGGGGCGGGGCTTAGCGTGCTAGTGGGCCAAAGCATGACTATATTCGTTCTGTGAAGAATTGAATGTGAAAAAAACAACGTCGAAAAAATGTCATAAAATTTCAGAACTTACGCCACTTCATTATGAAGTGGGCGGAGTCATATATGTGTCGGTAGCAAACCTATTCTGTTGAATGTGTGTGTCAAGTAGCAAAAGTTAAAAAAATTCGAAGAAGCAGAATTCATAGAACATTTGGAAAGCCACTAAGAACCACTGAGCGCTAAGAAGTGGGAGGGGTGTTGGAGCGGGGCTTGCAGCAGTACCTAGTGTGGTCTAGTTCTCAACTCCAAATTGTAAGGGGTGTGTCCGACTTGATTTGGGAAGTGTTCGATTTGCTGTGAAAAGTGTCCGATTTGGTTTGAAAAGTGTCCGATTTATAGTGAAAATGGTATATACCAAGCTTCGCCCATTTGGCCAGGCTTTCTTCAAAGAAATTCCGGCGACTTTTCACAAGATTCCTGCTTTTATTTTGAAATAGCACATGGGACGAAGCGTTCTCTTGCTCATCCTATCGAACATTACTTTCTTCTAATGATTAGAAAACTAAAAGAGACATCAGCAGAAGGTTGCGGATGTATGACAAAGCGTTGCTCGATTCCGCGGTCACCGGTGGAGCGTGCTCGTTATCATGTACAGTATGATTCGCTGTGGACGAAGGGACGTTTTAGGCGGTATGGGCTCGAACTGCCATATCGGGTTTTCCAACAGTTGAGGCCAGCAAGAGAAAAGACCGTACTATATCGTTCGTGTCGGTCGTTTTCCACCTATTGTTGTCTCTTACCAGCTTCAATTGGTAAAAAACGGGTGTGGCGCCGTGCCGAAACCAAGCGGCTGGAACGCCTCTTCGTCCGCAGCGATCCAAACTGAACTGGCTCATATTTGAGTTCCGCTTCGAAATCGTTTCCCCCTGCCGTCCGCACTATCACTTATTAGGTCATCCCATTCAAAAGTGCCAACGGGTTTATTCTAGTAAAACAAAGAGGAGAATAGATGAAAAGGTAATATTTTAACTTCAGGTTAAATAATTCTCTCCTTCACCAATGACCCGCTCCTAGTGCCCCGAAAGCCTCTGGAAATTCGAAACGATTGGATTCGCTTGGCTTTATGTCGGGCGAATACGGCGATGGAACTCAGGTCTCAGTTTTGTTTGTGTCTCAGCACTGCCCGACAATACAGTTACTCGGGGTCTGGCACTATGAAGGAACGGTGGACTTCTTTTAGTTGTGTGGTATCATCCATTTGTCGATCTGATTGCCGAGGATCAGGCAATACACACCGACAAGGACGATTTCATTCTCTGTGTAGAGCCGCTTGAAAGCCACAGTGTGGGGATCCATCGCCATGATGATCATCCACTTGCGCCCAGATATTAGGTTGGTGCATAAGTTCTAAGCCACGACTTTCGTAAATATCTCAATAGCAAAGCAACCTGAAGATTAGAGGTATGCCCCATCACCATCCACTACTCGACGCCAGCGCTCAGGCAGCTTGTCGATTCCTTCCTTCCAGAACGACGGGGGCTGGAACTTGAAGAATTCGTCGAGTGCCTTTCTGACCTGATCCTTCGTTTCGAACTTTTTTCCGTCCAGAGAGCGCTGCAGGTGGCTGAACAGCCAGTAGTCAGAAGGAGCGATGTCAGGGCTGGGGGGCTGGGCGACCATCAGCCATCCGTACTTCTCCAGTCGGCCTGGGTCGCTTTTGCAGTGTGAGGTCGGGCGTTGTCATGTTGGAAGTAGATTTCCGCATTCGATCCACGAGTACGGTTTACGATCTTTCAGTTTGCGCAGCTGGGTAACATATGTGGAAGCGTCAATCGTCTGTCCCTTCTCCAGCAGCTCCCAGTACTCCATGCCTCTTCTGGACCACCAGCAGGACAGCAGAACCTTCTTGGGGTGAAGGTCGGCCTTTGAGGTGGCTTCTGGCTGTTCTTCTTTGTCGACCCGCTGCCGCTTCCTCACAGGGTTATCGTAGAGGATCCACTTTTCAACTCCAATGATCATCGAGTTGGGGAAGTGAAGCTTCTTTTGTGAATCGTGAAGCAAAACCAGGCAGTGGTAATTGTGCGACATTGTGGCCTGCAAATGCAAGGTGGGTGAGTGATAGCCAGTGTAATAAAAGAGTATAGTGCCCACGTCACGCACACGTGATGACGATATACCAACATCCATGCAAACGAAATAGGGAAGGATCAAACACGGGGCCAGGAACTTATGCACCAACCTAATAACTCCCCAGTAGAACTCGGGCGGCTTCTCATCTGCATTCATACAAAACAGAGGCTTGTGAGTTTTGGCTCGAGGTCCATGACCATCCATATTTCATTTAGAGCCGAGGTGCGTTTTCGCGGTAGTGAATGACATCTCTTGCTGGAAACATTGCTTCTAGAGGCGTAGAATCGGTATTGCGTTCGTGCTTCTATAAGAAAATTAGGTACCCATGCGCACACCGCCCTGACCATCCTCAATTTATCGGACATACCTCGGACAGCAGTTGAAGCAGGGATGTCAGTCTCGCGGGGAAACTCGCCAAAGCTCCAGACTCTGGAATCAGACATTCAGCGCTTGACTTAATCCACCCTCTTTTCTTGTGCAGGATGAGCATTATGGGACCATCTACGATTACAAATTTTTTTATTTCTCCCTTGTACGGGCTCCTGAACCAAATCTTCCACCGTGTATTTCGAGAACACCATTACACACAACTACTGGTCTGGCGCAGGTCGAACTTGAGTAGCGCACTTCCCTCTTGTGACACCTGATTTGAAAATCCGACCCTGGTTTTCACCACTCAGGCTTCTTTTCAATATCTCGAGAACTTCTTCTGCAGGTAGGTTCGCCAAATTTCACAGATATATAGCTAAAAGTACTAGCCTCCAAATGGTAGAGTAGCCCGCTGCTATATCCCCTTTGCTTTTCTGCCATTCCCCTATAAGTATCGGCACTTTTGAAAGCGATGACCTAATAGATTGCTGGTCCTACGAGCTAGCAGCGCTACCTGAATGTTAGCAGCAGTGTTACTTTCTCCAGTCCACTGAAACATCTTTTGTTTAGCTGTTCGCTGGCGGATGCGCTGGTGTGTCGGGATGGCTCTCAGTTTGTCCACTGGAGGTTGTTAAGAATTGCGTCCAGGCTGACAACACTGGACGGAAAATGTAAGTTTCTGGAGTGTGCTATGATCACACTTGGAGAAGGCGACGATATGAGAGTGTTTCCATCTGCAGAGGACGGGGAATAAAAGGAGGCTGTAGCCACAGAAGGCCTGCCGCCCGCCACCCGTCGTCCATTTTGACCGTAGTATCGGCAGAAGTTTGTACTGACTAGTTGAGCTGAATCTTTTGTACGATCTCGGAAGGTTGAATGGTCCCACCTTGCCTGACCCGATGAACCTACCACCACGAGTAGTCGAAGGTCTTGTCTCAAGTGAGAGGGAAGTTCGAACAACTTGTATCCCATGTGGAACCGAGTTCAAAAAATGGATTTTCTCTGATACAAGGTTTCGTTTCAGATCTACGAACGACGTAATACGACGGCTATGGCGTGAAGATGGGGTCCGCGCCTTCTACCGCGGCGGTCTGGCAATGTCTATACGGGGATTCATCGTGAATGCCGTGGTGTTTCTCGTCTATGAAAACATTTTCTCATTTATCGACACTTCGGCTGCCTTCGCCTTGGCTGCCTCCTGATCTCTTCCACACTCCTCACATTCCTTCTTGCTGTAGTATTTGCTCTACGACTTACACTCAAGGATAGACTAGTTTAGCTCAAAATATATCAGGGACTTAATCGATTCAAAAAGTTAAAATGGAACTACTCTTCGTGTGTATGGTGTGTTTGTGTGTGCGTCTGTCTGTCTGTCACGAAATTCATAACGAGCGTCGCAGAAAAATAGGACGACAGTTCCAAGAAGTGATATACATGGCAGGACGGGAACACTTTTGGTGGGTGATAGAATGTGATAGCACCTGATAAGATTCGATTAGGGGCCTCAGAAAGAGAGGTTGACCGAGCCCATAGTGCGGGACACAGTAACAGCGAGACATTGGTTCCAAGGTATGATATAGGACGTGGGACAGGAACATTATTGATGGGTGACAGGGAATGATGATGGGTGATAAGATTCGATAAGGGGCCTTAGAAAGGGAGGGTGACCGAGCCCATAGTGCGGGACACAGTAACAGCGAGACATTGGTTCCAAGGTATGATATAGGACGTGG